TACACTGCCGTTTGGTGATTTAGGAGGAAAATGAACTCTGACAGCTTGGTCTTTGCAGTTCAGTGAATTCATCTTACCAAAGCAAGGTTCATCTGTTTCAAGATCTACCCTTCCCAGCAGATCCCCCAAACCACATTAGAGTCCTCTAGGCCCCACCAAACCATAGCAAAGTCCTCTGTAGGCCTCTAAAACCACACCAGGGTCTTTGGGGACCTCCTGATCACAGTTATCTGAAAACTCCAATATGACTCCGACTCCTATGGCATTCTGGTCCACCCGGCACACCCTTCCCCAGGAACCCCCCCCCCCCCCATATTATGCCAAGACCTCTTCCCTATATCATTCTCCCACCTCAGGAGCCACCGCTCCAGCTAGTTTCTCCGTACCATATCCCACTCCCCAGTATTGTGCCAAGGTACCCCTTCCAATCAAGGCCCACTCCTCCTGATGGGAGCAAAGGGGATGTGTCTCTTCTCACGACTTGTAGTGATCGTCCTTCTCTTCCCTACACTGGAGTCTACCCACCTCCTCCCAACCCAATATTCCCACCAGGCCCTTTCTCCAGTGACTCTTCTGTCCACTGGAGTCAATCCACAACTGTGCCCATTCCTAGAAGGCCCCCATAGCCAAATCCCCCAAATATCACAGAACTCTTCCCTATCTGCCACCCCCAAATCCCTCTTATCAGTCCCTTTCTCCTATGCCAAGCCTGGCCACCCTACGACCCTTCCTCTCTTGGAGCCCCCCCCCCTCCCCCCCAGCACACACACCCCAAACTCTTTCCTGGGGCCCTCCCACACCAGGATCATCTCTCCCAGCCACCACCCCCTACCCGGGTCAGGGCTGGTGCGGGGCCCACGGGAGGCTGGGGCGCGGTGGGGCCCCCAGTGGGGTGGGCGAGCAGCCAGCATGGCGGCGGTGGCGGCGGTGAGGAGACAGCCGCCTGTCCCGGGCCAGCGGGCTCCGGCAAGCCCTACGGCAGGGAGGGCAAGCGGGACAGGCGGCCGGTGGGTGACAACAGCAGCCGCCGCGGGGGGAGGGGGGAAGAGGAGGGGACAGGGACGAGGGTCAACCCGGGGCACACAGGGAAGGGAAAGGCAGGTGGACGGGGGAGGGGCGGGTTAACCCTCGACCCGCCGGCCCCGCCCCACGCAGCCACCGGCCCCCAGGGACACAGGCGTCTGGCCTCCCATTTTGGAGGGCCGCCAGGGCCAGCGGGCAGGCCTGAACTTGGCAGTCCACACCTGCCATGGCAACAACCGTGCCATTGGTCGCTGGGCCCAAGAGCTCAACCAATCACAGCTCGGGGCGGTTGTTGCTAGGCGACAATGATGCAGCGGGCAGAGCCGAGCCCAAACAAAGGGCGGGAGCGGGACCCCAGAACCCCTTCCCAGGACAATTCTCTCGGGCTATGCCCTTCCAGGAATCCAACTATGAATAGTTAGGCATGGCCTGCACCTGCCCGCCGCCCCACTCCTCTCCTCCCTGCGCCTCCTAAGTCTCCCGGCGACAGGGGGAGGGCGGAGCGCGAGCCGCGCCCCATCTGTAGCCACTTCGTTACCTGAGAACGCAGGCAAGGGGACTCAAACTGCTCGGGAAGCCCGAGCTCAGGCCTGCCCACTGGCTGAAGATATCCGGTGGACGCAGCGAAGCAGGCCCTGATTACCCAGTAATGCAACCAGCAAAATGGCAACCACAACAAACCGGCCCCCCCTCCCCACAGGCTTCGGGCTCCGCCCCCACCCCATCCGCTCCCTCACGTGACTCACAGCAATACACTGCGCCTGCTCAGCGGAGCTTACCAGCACACATGCGCAGTGAGCTCCGCCCAAGCGCCAAAATCCAGGCTAGGGTGGCGCAAGAGGCAGCTAAGAAGGAGCATGCGCTGTGTGATCGGCTGAGCCGTCCACCCCCCACCACCACCACCACACAAGTTAACTAAGGGCGCATTCCGCCCTGTTGTCAATGGAAGTCGCCAAGCAATCAGCAGCAGACCCAGACCGGAAGGACGGATTAGTCTTTTAATAGAAAAACACACGAGTAACAGTAGCAACACAATCTCTAGCAATCCAGATGAAGAGCCAGCCTTCAGTTCTTCACCTTGGGGGGCGGCCTGTGAGAGGAAGATGAGAGGCATCAGAGCTTGTCACCACTTTAGGGGCACTCCTAACAAGTATTGAACCGTGTGGCTCTGGGGTGCAGGGGCCAGAGACATCTGTCCTGGTGGAATACTGGGCCCCCTGCTCACCTGTACACACCCACCACCACAGCGTGGTCTCTTTCATATGGCTCTAAAGTCAACTGCTCCTGGGGCTTCATGTTTTCCTGTTGCATTTTTTTCACTTCAGAGGCAAATACTGCCTCAGCAGATGCGGTGGAGTCAATGCAGTTAGCCTACAGAGGAGAGAGGATTTGAAGTCTGCAGCAAGGCTTTGAGCTATTTACCCTTTTCTGTGCTCTTTACATTAGAAGTACTTGTTGTTACTGGAAATGGTGAAACTCACGTTTTGGAAATTTTCAATTTGGTCTGGATTTGGAACAGTTAGCCTTCAACAGAGTCCTATCATCTAAAAGCCAGTGTTTAAATTTTACACTCAGGGCTTTTTTTCCCCTTCTGCTTCCCCTTTAACAATAATAATGCAGCTGAGAATATGAAAATAAATGTACCAAAAGGCTAACAAAATGGTGAATCTGGTTGAAAGGCACATGGCAGAATTCTCTGTATTTCAAAGTAAAATGTTTTTTAAAGTGCAACTAGCATTTATCTAGTATTTATTCTACACCAGGCTGTTCCAAACACTTCACATAGACACTAAAAAATTGGACTAATATTTCTATTTTACACATATAGTATTTTCATTTTACAAGCACACAGATTAAGGAACTTGTTCAAAGTTACACAGTGAGTTGGAATTCAAGCTCAAATTGTCAGACTCAGAGATCATGCACTTGACCACTACGTTCTATTGCCTCTTTAAACCCAAAGATGCTAGTTTTGCAGACATTACTCATCATGTGATATTTGACTCGGGCCAGGGAATGGCTTGTAGGGAGCTGTGTGGGAATAAAGGCTGAGAATAGACTGAATGGATTAGGGGGGATGAAGGCTCCCTTGTTTTGACTGGCTACTTGGTAGTTAATGATAGAGAAAATACTTAGACTCCTCCAAGACCCGCACCTTAATGGAAATCACAAAGTGTCCTCCATTACGTAGGAAGGTGTGGGCATTCAGGGCTACAATCCGGGTCTGGTCTGGCTGGGCCACATCGGCAAAGATCACATCCACCATTGCTAGGGAGAAGGAAGTGGCAGTTAAAAGCTGGGTCTGCTGATCTTCCCAGCTCCTCCCAGGGGCCTGTAGACTCCTGGCAGTCTTCCCTGCTTCCAGTCTCACTTCCCCCCTCTGATGCCCCTCCCCTCCCTCCACAGTGCCCCCAAGATGGGTCCAAAACCCAGTCACATCATTCATGCCTCTTGTAACCCATGGTTGCCACCTACTCTGTGGCCAGCCCTGGGCCGGGCATGGGGGACAGAGAGAAGAGTCATACCCGGACCCTGTCCTCGAGACGCTCCCGGGTCTGGGGGGTGGGGGGAAGAGGGGGAGACAGACACGTCATCAAAAAGGCAAATAAAGGTGAGCACTTACAGGCAAGAGCATTTGCAGGATTATCAGATGAAAACAAGTTGCAGGACAAGGGGTATGGTATAGGTCAGTGATGGTGAACCTATGACACGCGTGTCAGAGGTGACTCGCGAACTCATTTTTTTGGTTGATTTTTCTTTGTTAAATGGCATTTAAATATATAAAATAAATATCAAAAATATAAGTGTTTTACTATGGTTGCAAATATCAAAAAATTTCTATATGTGACACAGCACCAGGGTTAAGTTAGGGTTTTTCAAAATGCTGGCACGCCGAGCTCAAAAGGTTCGCCATCACTGGTATAGGTGCATGGAAAAAAACTCACAGAAACCAGCAGAATGCAAAATAATATTTTTAAGGCAGTATGACTAAAAAACCCAAAAACTTAAAAATATGGGAAGATGTTGTAATGAAACTAACTTTTTAAAGTTGGAAAAAGCAGACATCAAATTGTTCATATGTTACCTCAGAGGGTGATTTTATAAAGAATTCCATTTTTACATCTTGCTTCTTAATATTTTTTAAAAAATCAAAATAATTGATATTTACAATGGGCTCCTCTGGGCCAGGCCACATTCAGTTTGTGCTTTCTGGGTTATGATCTCAACAGACGATGAGGAGGACCTCTGAAGGAGGCTTTTTGTTGTTGTTGTTGTTCTTACTCCTCACCCAAGGATATTTTTTCCATTGATTTTTTTTTTTTTTTTGAGAGTGTGGGAGGGAGGAGGGAGAGGGGTGAGAGAGAGAAACATTGATTGGTTGCCTCCCACACCTGCCTGGGGATTGAAACTGCAACCCAAGTATGTGCCCTTGATTGGGAATTGAACCCCATGACCTTTCAGTGTGTGTGCCGATGCTGTAACCACTGAGAAACACCAGCTAGAGCTGAAGGAGGCTTTTCTACATAAGCCAGGGGCAGTGTAAAAGTACCATATTTTAGAGGGAGGAAGGAAGTATGGGGCAGCCTAGGCCTAGGGAGAGGGGCACGAGATAAGAGAGGAGGCTGGCATCTGAAGGTGCCAGAGACCCTGAAGCAGATCCACCATCTTCTCAACCTCACCTGGCTCCCCCCACCCTTTTTATTCCTGCAGACTCAAGAGGCCTGCTCATCCATTCCAATTCCATCCAAATTAGGGCCCTGGCCTCTTCCAGGAAACCTGGAGTGGCCTATCCTACCCCACCTGGGCCAACCCCTGATCCCTCACCAATGAGCATGCGGTATTTGTGCGGGTGCCGAGCATCTTCAATGACAGGAATAATGTTAGTCCTCTTCTTGGCCAAGTTAATGAGGTCACGGCCAGAGCGGTGGGAAAACTCAACTGCATAGACCAGACCATCCTAAATAAATCAAATAACAACAATGATACTAGTTCTCATGTATGGAGCACCTACTTTGGGCCCATACACTGCATGCAGCATATCTTCAAATCTCCAAATCTAAACCCTACCACTTAACAATTATTATTATTATGTCCATTTTACAGATGAATAAACTGAGGTCCAGAGACATGAAGTTGCTGGCCAAGGTTTATTCACTCCCGCTTTGCCTGATGTGAAAACCCAAGCCCCCAGTACAGGCTTAAAACTAGGAAGCTAGCACACAGAGATGAAGTCATAACAGCTAAGAATATCTGCAATAGACCAGGCATTGCTCTAAGCACTTTACAGGAATTAACTCATTTATCTTCGCAATAACCCTATTTTCCAGAGGGGTAAACTGAGGCCCAAAGAGATTAAATAACTTGTGAAAGTCATGCCACTGTTAAATGCCTGCACCAGAGCCTGGGTTTTATAGGCTCTGTAATGTAGATGAACTGGAGGTCATGAAATGACATGCACAGGTACCCTCTCAACAGGGAGCTTGTACAGCCACACCGAAATGCAGGCCCAGAAAATGAGATTTGTTCTTTCAAGAGAAACTAGAAGATCAGATTTTGGGGGCATAAATTTTTTAAAAGGGCAACTAAATCAAGTAGTCTGGTATATCCACGGTAGTCTGGTGTATACTCAGTTCTGGGCCTGGCTAACAACAGTCATCCAATGCCCATGCCCCTTTCCTCTGGGCCAAGAACTCAGAAATGAAGCTGAATGAGGCTTTGGAGAGCAGGTAGTTCAAGCTGCTTCTTTTACTCACAGGCACTCTAGTAGGGAAAGGCCTAGCTCCATGCCATGCAATGCAGGGAAGGAGCCAGGGCCTCTGACTCCAGGTTGGCAGAAGCAGCAGCCTTCCTCTCCCTCCTACCTTACCACCAGCCCTTACTCATTATCTAATCCCCAAAACTTCATCCACTCACCGGGCCTACGATGTCAGAGACATGAGAGACGGTGGTGCCCGAGGCAGCCCCAAGGTAGAGCACCTTGGCCCCTGGCTTGATGTGGATTTGGTCCACTCCGCCCAGGATCGCTGCTGCCAGCTTGGAGCGGAAGGGGTTCCAGGCACGATACTCGATTTTGTCCTCTCCCTCCTAGGCCAGGAGAGATGGGATGGAAGTCAGTGTCAGACTCTTCTGCAAGCCCCCACTGCCCTTAACCCTACGGCCCTCAAAGAAACTAAATCACTGTACAAGAAACAAATGTGGGCACTTATCAGTGACCACAACAGATGCAGTGTCTGCCTTATAATGGAAGCTACTAACTCATGGAAAAGGGTCAACACCAGACAATAAACACAGAGATAAGATCATACCAGATCTATGCATTCCTTCCACAAACATTTGCCGTGCCAGGACATACTGTGTGCAGACCCTATATTAGGCACTGGGGGTACATAGTTACCGAGACAAAGACCCGGGCCCTGAAAGAGTAAGTATGTAATGAACTGACTGACACACACAGTTGACATAGAAGCCAGTGACAGGCACTAAGGAGAAAGGATCAAGCCAGAAAAGCAGATATGAAGTACAGGGAGCAGGGCGAGAGACAGGTGAACATGAGAAAGGGTGGCCAGGGAAGAGCCAAGAAGCAGACCTGAAGAAGGTGAGGGGCCATTCAAGTTATCTTGGGAGGGAGAGCTCATTCCAGGCGGCAGGAAATACAGCAGAAAAGCCCTGAGGCAGGAATGCGCCTGGCCATAAAGAAAATGACATGGGATAATAGGGGGACCTGGCCTGTGTGGCTTGGTTGGTTGGGCTTCAGTCTCCTACACAGAAAGCTTGCCAGTTCAATTCCTGGTCAGGGCACATGCCCAGGTTTTGGGCTCAACACCCAGTACGGGTGTGCAGGAGGCAGCCAATCGCTTTGCTCTCACATCAATGTTTCTCCCTTTCCCTTCTTCTCTCTCTCTGAAAATCAATTTTAAAAAATCTTTGAAAAATAGGGCGCCCTAGCCAGTTTGGCTCAGTGGATAGAGTGTCGGCCTGCAGACCAAAGGGTCCAGGGTTCGATTCCAGTCAAGGGTTTGATTCACTTACCTCAGTTGCAGGCTCCTCCCTGGCCTGGGCCCTGGTCAGGGCTCGTGCAGGAGGCAACCAATCGGTGTGTTTCTCTCACATTGATGTTTCTCTGTCTTTCTCTCTCTTTTCCACTCTCTCTAAAAATCAATGGAAAAATATCCTCAGGTGAGGATTAACCAAGAAAAATAGGGCAGGAGATAGATGGTGAGGGTTGTTTTTTTCAGACAGGGTAGTGAAAGACGGCCTTTGAGAAAGACAAGGTCACACCTGACCAGACACACTGGTGTAAGAGGGAACCAGTCACACATAGAGCTGGGAGACGAGTATTCCAGGCAGGGGAACAGCAAGGTCCATGGGCTAGAAGACACTCAGTCAGGGGGACAGTGGAAGGAGGTGAGGCCAGGGAGTGGCGAGGGGAAACAGAAATGTGAAGGGCCTTTCCGGCCACACCTGGAACATTAACCTGAAGGCAGTGGGAGTCACAGAAGGCACGTGGGGAGGGAAGTGCGTGATCTGACTTATGTATTAAGACAATGCCCGCGCTGTCCCAAGTAGGACACATGGTGGAGGCAGGGAGACCAGTACAACATCAGCTGGGGCCCTGGTGGATTGAG